CCATATGGACTCTGTAGGTCCCTTCCAACCTAAATTATTCCATGATTCTATCCTACCTTGAGCTTTGTATGCTAAAAAGCAAATCAATCATAACTATACATATATGTGTAACTGTGTTCGAACAGACACTAGCAGGAAACAAATACGAGATGAATACACAGTTCATCACTACTGACTTTCCTTTAAATACGACCTCATACTGTAAAAATGGCTTCCTGAAAACAGGTTAAGCATCACAACTTTAAACATGGTTGAACAGCTTGCCTGCAGGAGATGCATAATCGAGATTACTGTCTTAATTAGTAACAAAGGGAGTGCTTAAGGAAAGCCAGGCAAATACACACATTGCCTTACATCACTGCCATACAAAAATCCATTCATAATCTGAGTTCCAATCTAACTTTCCTTTTGTCTCCCAACCTTGGTGCTCAAAAGCCCCTTAAGACCTTAAATTTCGCTAAACCTTTTCACTAAATCTGAACGGCATCATTCTGTGTATTCTGTATGCTGGATTGTTTTTTCTTTAAAAAGACTAAATCCCTACTAGCAATCCAGAATTTTCAATCAGTTGGACACCTTCAGAAACAAGAATTTTTTGCAACTTTCAGTAATCCATCGTCAGATCTGTAAAAATTCAAATGTATTTCTAGGAGTTCTTTCAATATTTCATCTGCAGTGTCTTTAAAGTGGCACCAACACATAAAAAAAAAGTGAAGAATTTACCATTCTTCCTACTTTTAGGCAACTCATGAATCCTACAGCTTCAGTTACAGTTCATTTTTCAGTACTGAAGTACACTTTTTGAGAGATATTCAATAAAATCTTTCACAAGAATATACCTGCATCTTTTCATTTTTCTAGCAGAAAAAAACCCAATCAATAAACAAACTTGATTTATGGTCAGTTATCTCAAGAAATTCAAGACATTCCTTTATCCCCTTTCCCATTCAGAGAATGCTCGTGTGCCCTGTTTTTACATACTTTTGTTTATTGTGTGGTTGCTCATTCATTCATGAAGCCCTGAAAAGAAGCTTTGTATCTACATAGGTTCTGAATATCCTTGAAAATAACTGAACATGTACTTAATGCAAACAGTTCAGTGGTGTAAATTAAAGTACAAATACCAAAATAATATTTATTAAAAAATGTGTAAAAATGTCTCTTCTACAAAAAAAATTCTATTCCTTTCAACTTAAAAAAAAAAAATCACTGCCATGCTATCTTGGGGCACGTTTGGAAGACAGGTTTCATACATTCTGATTTGGAAACGCAAACTTTCTTGGCTTCTCCATTTCATGTTGTACTTCCCATGGTCAATATAGTTTCTTCTATTTCCTTCTACTCTTCTGTTAATCATATTTCAACATCTAACAGGAATATTGATGAAATCCCCAAATGCTACAAACCAGAAGCTCCAAATCTGCAAAGCAAATAGGCACCGTGGGGAAAAAAACATCTTAAAGCTATTTTCTAGGAATTGTCTTGCTGAATAAGACTGCGCTGAATGGAACAGCCTAGGTCATTTTTAATGCTTTAGGAAAGCCTGTGGAAGATGGATAACTTCAGCTCAATTTTTCTCTTAAAATATCAGACAGAACACATCTAAAGGTGTTTGAGAAACTGACCAGTGCCACTGCTGGGATTCTCCTTATCGTACGTGAAAGGACATGTTGTCTGGGAGAGTCTTTGATGTTTGAAAAATAGTAAATGTCATGCCCATCTTCAAAAAGAGTAAGGAGGAAGATCCATTGAACCTACATGACAGTCAGCCTCATTGTAGACTCTGGGAAGGTCACAGAACACGTTTTCAGAGAAGCCAATTCCAGGTACTTAAAGGACAAAAAAGGTTTTGGGAACAACCAACACGTATTTACCAAAAGGTAAATCATGCCTTACCACAATCTGATTGCCTCCTATGATGAGATGATTGATTCTGTGGATGAAGTACTGGATGCTGTTTGCTTTGACCTTAGCAAAGTTGGGACAGTCTTCCACGGCAGAAACTGTTGGATCCAAGTGTGAACTGAATGCGTGGACAACAAGGTAGGTAAAAACCACACTGGACCACTAAAATCAGAGTGTAATGGCCAGTGTTCCACAGTGCAGCTGAACTCTAGGTACAGACTGACATGCCTCAAGGTTTGATGATGCTTAATGTCTTTTTTAAAGAAACTTGGCAATGATACAAAACATACCAAAGAAAGTTCACAGATGACACCAAACTGGGGAGAGTTGTTGATACACTGAGGGGTAGGGCTGCCATTCAGAGGGACATTGACAAAATGAGGGAATGGTTTAACAGCAACCTCATGAAGATCAAAGTAAACGCAAAGCCCTGCACCTGAGATGGGAAATCCCAAACCAAATACAGGCTGCGGGCAGCTTTAGAGAAAAGCTTGACAAAGCAGCTTTGCAGAAAAGAACTCACGGGTCCCGGTGGACAACAAACTGAACAGCATGCCCCTGTATTGCTGAAGGCTAAGCACTTACTGGGCAGCATTAATAACAGCATAGGCAGCAGATCAGAGGTGAGATTATTTCTTTTTATTAGATACTTGTAAGCGCACATCTAGAGTAGTGTCTCTAGCTTTGAGCTCAATAACAGAAGAGAAAGATTGACAAACTTGAGCGGGCAGAGGTTAACAGGTTAAAGCGCAGGATTTACGAGGAGAGGGCGAGAGAGCTAGGTTTGTTCAGATGGGAAAAGAGAAGGCTAAGGATGGTGGTTGGGTATCAAATTGCTGTTTCCAGTTACCTAAAGCAGGGTTATGAAGAAGATTGTCAGACTGTTCTTGGAGATGTATAGTGAAATGTTGAGAGGCAATGGTTAAAAGTTGTATCAAGCAAAATACTGAATGGATCTAAAGACAAAACCTTGCCAGAGTGAGCATAGTTAAGCACAGGACAATTACCCTGAGGGGCAGTGCAACCTCATTCCTTAGAGACAAAGATCTGACTGAAAAAAAGCCTGATCTAGCTTCGACATTAGTGTTCATTTTGCTCAAAAGAATGGTGTCCAGAGGTGTCTTCCAATCTAAATTATGTTTTGATTTTTGCCATGAAATAATTAGCAGGCATGAAGTATGAATAACCAAGTGCAGGCTCCAGACTTCATTCACTGAGATGAAAACAGCAGCCTACAATGTGTATTATGTTTCTCTCTGCTGACTAAAGGAGAAAAATGAGAATAATAATAAATGTGCACATATTAGAGGGTGGAGTGGCCTCATATAGGCACATGAGACTACAGAATGCTGAAGACAGAACGGGACAAAAAGTAACCAACTAGTGGATTTTACATTTTCAGCATAGTGAATCAAGATATAGTTCTATAACATATTAAAGAGAAGACAAACACCACCCTGAACCAGAAATACTCCCATTACTCATTACAGGAGACCTCAATAATGCATGGGAGATATCAGCGAAGAACATATACGTCTCTGGGATGTAGTAAACAAAAAGCTTTCTGAAATTATGTAGTAAATTGCTTTTAAGTTTGTACAGTCCACATCAGTCAGGCAGCACTTCTCCACAATGCCAACGAAAAATTAAAATTCTTGGCACCCATTCAAATCTGCTGATTCTATCCATTCCACTGACAATGGGAAAACAGTGCTCCACAAATTATTTATTGAAGATATTCCCATATATACTTCTTTGTAACGTTCATCTCCAAAAGAGACCCTGTGTCTGCAAAGTACCCAAGGGAAAGAAAGATACACTGCATTTCTTTTCTACATCTTTCTTGTTTCAACGTGGTAATGAAATAACACCCTTTATTTCCCTCTGTCCTTGGGGAGGGATAAAGGAAGGGGGGATGATGTGATGTCTAGATTAGCAGGATACAAACAACTTGTGGAGTTTTGACAGGGTGAGGAGAGAGGCACCTAAGCAGTTTGGCTGCTGTAGAGCATTCCCCACTTCCACCCAGACTCACATGGATGCTGAATCTGTGAGATTCAGGAAAGGAAGCTGAAAAGTTTCAGCTCTCCCATTAGCTAGATTCTTGCAAAGGATGATTTGATTGTGTCTCGCTCTTTAACTCTCTCGCTATCTCTTGTTCTTATCTGTAAAGATTGCTCGATGAATCCAGCAACCATTCCAGTGGTATTAGTGCCTTGTGATGTATTAATTTCTACATTAGATACCGTCCGCCTGACTAGATTCCTGGTTTTGAAGATAAGAAATACGTATTTTTTTCTTACGGCAAAGTTTTCACTTTCGTTTGTTCCATCTTTTTTTTGCATCAGCCCAGAAGTTTAATAATTTAAAATTACAAGTCTGTCACAGTTAGTGACTGGCCTTTAATGCAAACTGAGGTATCAACTTCCAGATATAAAGAAGAATGACAAATTCAAGAGATAGTTGCTGAACACTGTAAAACTCCAGAAAAAAGGAAAGATCAGCTGTTCAGAAGACGCAGGACCCTTCGTCACGTACCCATCACCATTCTTACTGAAGAAACATGAGACTATTCAGAGGTGTACTGAATCTTAGTGCCTCAAGTGAAGACAGTTAATGTAAGCAGTGGTTACCACGCACCGCAAAAATTTTATAGTTTACTGGCTTTGTAGTGAAGCGCACAGTGTAGTATGTGAACTCATAAGAAGATACCAAAGCTTCAATAAAAGTTAAAACTAAATGCCAAACAACCTCAAAAACCTACTTAAAAATTTATTTCCTTCATCGTTTACACAAGGTAATTCTTGTACCTAAGATGCTGCAGAATGACCTTAGTCTAATTTACTGAATAACATCATTGTTAAAACAACACATCCTACTGTTCCAATATCAACATTAGAATGCATTTTAAAGCTGACTGAACAAACAACAAGAATATATGCATTTCATTTACCTACATAATTCTGTCTAGATGATACAAACACCAGATCAGAGCTTCAAACAAAAAACAACCCAAAACCAAAACAAAACACCCACATAGAAAAAAAAAACACAAACAAGCAAACCCAACAATTGCAAACGAGGGAAAAACCTACCTCAGTGGTGCTACTGGAAGTTTCCAGTCCAACCATGTTGGCTTGCAGCAGCTGCTGAAGAAGTTGTACTTGAGCCACATTGAGGAAGAAATCCAGGTTTGTTGTTACATTCACCTCCAAAGAATGACCACACACCAGAATTTCCTGTGGAGAAATTAAGGGAAAATACTAGATAACAGCTACTGGGGAAATAATTTTCAGCTTCTATATAACTGTATTGTGATTCTCTGCTGTAGTCAATGCATCAACACTGTATACAATATTAATTAGGTCTTTTTAAAACAATGTGGTGTCTCAGGCTTCTAAACAAGGATGCGGCTTATTCTTTGCTTTGCTTTCAACAGCATAACTATTAATACAAACTTTTCAAGAAAAGCATCTCGTGTGTGAGGTCTTGTTTCCATGTCTTGGTAGTATCAAACAGTGAACTGTCAGATTTTGTTTTATATTTCCTGGCAATAACTACAATTCTCCTTTCCTTCCAAGAAAAGGATGTAATTTTTTTTTTTTTTTAAACATAAACTCTCCTTGATTTATAATGAAATCAGATGTTGGAACTCACTGATAACCAACTCTAATTGATTTCTTTTGCCTGTAAACCATTGTTAATACCCTGGCAAAGCTAGCTGAATGGTCACTGTTTTATTGGTGTTATCTAGCACAAAAAAAGCTCTTCACCACTGTTGGCAAGCAATAAAGAGATGAAAAACAGAACCAAAGTATAAGGGTTGCTTAATAAGTAGAAGTACTGTCCCTTCTCATGAGAAGGTTGCACAATGTTCAAGCTCTTCGCAATCTAAACTAGACCTCTCCCTTCATCAGTGAATGTCACCCAGGGAACAGATAACAAGAAGAACGTACGCACAGAAAACACTGAAATTATTGAACAGAAGCATCAGTAAAGCTCAGAGAAATTTGTGTAACAGAATAACTTCTGGGCATCCTAGCCACCTCCTAAGCTTTCTGCTTCTTTTTCACAGCACATAATTTTCCATCTGCCCTTGTGATGACGCTTCACACAAAATATGAGGCTGTCGATTTTTCTTTCTATACCCAATAGCTATTATTTTCCCACAATGTACATTTATTGCATGTTGCACCTAATACCCTTTACGCTCCTGTACCAGATTTGCCCTTCCCAGGAGGCAACTGTTATGAGAAATATTCCTTGTGAGCTGACAAAAACTTTCTGATATTTCCCCCACATAAAATGTTTAAGATTTTTGAGCTACAAACTAATGCCAAAAAGGGAGCCAATACCTTTTGTAACATTCTTCACAGACTAATCATCAACAAGGCGACCCACAGACCGTTAAAAGCGATTGTTAAATCTGGAATACCTTGAAGCACCCACAGCAACAGTTGGGGAGTGGACACTTTGTGGAAATTTGTGGGCTTGAAAATCTGGGTAAAATAACTCAGGTCAACCTTCCTCTTTGAGATAGTGTATAGATTGCATTTTCAGGCTTCTTTATGAGAAGTCTGTGAATACAATGGTTTGTAATGCTGTACTATAGCACCTCTTCTCAACACCTTTCCATCACAAATCTTTCAAAAATATTACTGGAAATCCTTAAAGGATTCCCATTTTCTGAACTGCCAACAGGGTTATCTACCTCTGGACAGACTGCCTTTAATATTGCCTGCTATACACAAATTCTTTCTCCAGCAGAGGAAGAACATTTCAGCTAGTGATTAAGACTTTATTTTTATTTTTCTTCTTCCATTTGGCGATCTCTGTATTTGTAAACACCCGGATGCTTAAAATGGTGGAACAGTAAAATATTAAGATCATCCACATATTAAAAGTTATGCTATTTCTGTTTATGTTTTGTACTAACCTCTGGGTGTAAATTCTCTGCAGCATCAATTTTTGTAAAAATAATTGCAGGAGCTGCAGTTATCCGAACTGTGAAATCTGTTAAAATTGGAGTTAAAATGGCTCTCCTCTCCTGATGACGCCTGATGCTAAAAAAAAAGAAAAAAAAAGAAGAGGTTAAATCACATTATAAATTGTCATGGGGCAAAACCTCACTCTTCTTTACATCCAGCATGTAGCACAAAACTGCTTCAGCACCAGTTTGGCATTTGATTGCTACCTCAATAAGCATTAATATCATCCTCAGAAATCATGTTAAACCCAATCCTAACGGCAGACTTCTACCTTCATTTCAGAGAAAAATTACATCTAAATATTTGACTCTTCAACCCCAGGTAGACAAGTTTGCCATCTGACATTCTTTCTTCAACTGTTTAACGACCATACAAAATAGTGTGAACAAAGATACAAACTTTATTATCAGTATTTTTTCCAACTTGCCTGTGGATGCCCTTCACTTTATGAATAGCTGTCCTGAAGCCTTTGAATTCATGCATTAAAACTCTGTGGTGAAAAAATTCTGCACACAGCAACATAACTGACACAAAAATCAAAGACATGAAAAATTAAACTACCAAACCCCATGAAACTCTAGGGCTCAGCACATTAAATATTTAATAACTATTGCCCAAGATGTTTAAAATGCCTTGAAAATGGAGGGATGCCAGTCTACCTCCACTGTTTCTGTCACTGGTTGCTCTTAGTTGGTACCTTTTCATCTAACTATCAGTGTTTGCTTGACAAGAATATTTATGCCATTAAACCTGATAATTACCTTTGTTTTCCAGCTGGATGTTTATATATTTTTTCCTTTAACCAAATACTAAGCCTAGAGGCACAACCCTGTTATAGATGGATCACTAATAGCTTATGACAACACATTCCAAATGGACAGAATCTTCTGGGTCAGGTCAAATAAACTATTGCCACAAAATGCCATCTGAGAGCCTCTGATCAGGGGGAACAAAAAATGTAATGAAATCAAGATGGTGCTCAGCCCCTAAAAGAGGATACAGTTCAAATTCCTGGGAGAACCCTTCCATCAAGATAAGTTTTTTGATAATTCTTTTTACCTACCATCATTTACGGAAATGCTAAATATGCCTGTCTATGGAGAAATCTGCAGACTGCATGTGGAACAGGTAATTAAATCTCTTGATTAAGAACAGGTATCAATATACATAGTCTAGTAAAGGTAACGGTTCTGAAATGGATTCTGTTGAAAAGTACGCAATCTCAGATGCTGATGGTTTGCATGCCAAGAGTGAGGCCAAAAAGAAATTAAATAGGTATCATAACTCAACTGTAATTCAGCCAAATTCAAAAGACTCAAAATACAGAGATGACAATTTACTGCTTAGACTATTTTGATTTTGATACTTCAAATTCTACTAACAGTTTGCTTAAGTGTCCTCAAAACATGTAGAAAGCATGGCAACCTATAAGGGAAGAGAAACTGTCAGATGTGGGTAGGCCTTAAAGCTTTAAAATTTATTCCAGACAACAGTACACAGAAGTCAACAGCAGATGCCACAGAGCACAGAGCTAGTATTTACTCAGCACAAGTCTAACAAACTTTGGCTTCAAACGACGTGCACAAACTGCTGAGCAGGCTGCACGCTACCGTAAGCGGTATGCTTAAGAGCAAGCCAATTAGTGAGTGTGAGAAAACTACCATCTTACACCAAAAGCTTTAATATTTTGGCCAGCTGTAGCTCTGCTGGTCTGTAACAATGGCTTTTCAAGCAAGATTAGTCTAATTCTTGCCCCAAAGAAGACCCGTTAGTGGTTAGCATACATCTTCAACCAAGAAAACAGTCTTAGAATTTGCCAGTTCTACAAATGCTTCTTTCCTTGCCATCACCTTCATTTTAAATTTAAACCAGATGGCTTTCTACCCAATCCCTATTTCCCCTTCACAATAGGATGAGAAAGAAACGCCTTTGTTTCTGAGGAAGATGAAAGAGCTAAGTAATAGAACAATTCTATGAAAGAACACACAGCTATACATTAGAAAGCTTCCACTCGAAGGGGCATAAAACTGCTAATAAATACGATTCCAATATATGAAATGGAGGTATAAAAGCAAGTTATTTGTTGAACCCCAAACCTACAACGGGTTCTCTTCGATCACTGTTGAAATTATTTATCAGCTTATATGTATTCCCATTTCTTACTTTTCAGATGTTTTTCTAGTAGATACCCAGTACACTGCACCTTAAAGGACATTTTTTGTCATACAGACTGATTGCTGATTTTTAAAATTTATTTTAAAATCACCCTTACGTGGTACCCCGTCCTGCTCTACTTACCACTTTCTGCATTTCTAGTTGGTGAATTTGAAGCTCAGCCAAATCAAGTATTAGTAAAATAATTGTAAGTACAAACAGAAGGCAAACAGAGCACAGTAAATAATGAAGGGAGAGGATATGAGAAAAGAGCACCAAAGGAACAAAGAAACAAATTCCACTTTGAATTATTAAGTCTTCCACACTGCACCTAAGTGCACCGTTAACTTAACACAGGTGTACGCCACATGAGCTTATGAAAAAACTTGATTGTGAAGAGCGTAATGATGGCTCTATGTCTGCAGCCCATTCATTCCGTGGTTCATTTATGCATCTGTTACGTATTTGTCTTGGGAAAAAAAAAAGAAAAGCTAGTGCTTTTAGAGATGTTATAGCAGTTGATCATCTACACTTAAATGTACAGCACATTTGAAAGACCATACGCTAACGCAAAGCAACAAGGCAGCAAAGCAGTTGTGATAAGGAGGTGCCTTTACTCCGTGCTGAATTTGCAGTATACCTGCACAGTAACAACCTCTGGTTATGGAACACAGATCCACATTGTAGAAGTACAGGACAAAAATGGTCTCTGTCCTCAAAGGCTACAATTTATGTACAAGAAGAAACACTCGCAGACAGGGAGTAAAAGGGAACAACTAACAGCACTGTAGGTAATGATATCTGTACAGTGGCAACCTGAAAGCTGTCTTATGAGTTTTTATATTACAGCACAATAGAAACCAATTTTTTTGGAAGGATTTGGAAGAAGACATTGCATTAACTTTGTGAATGTTCACAGGAAATGCCTTTATAATGTACAGGTTAGCCTAGGACCGAGCAATGAAGTGCTTCTTCAAAAGTTAAATGTGGCAGCTCTGGTAATTGGTATGATGAGGTCTGATGAGCAATGAGTGTAGATGTGTCAAAGCAAATGAAAGAAGACATAAGAGAAAAACAGATAGACATAGAAGTCTAGAAGTACCTTGGGATAGACATAGAAGTCTAGAAGTACCTTGAAAGCAAAGACGTATCTAATGATTAATACGACAACAAATGTTGTGGGAAGAAAACAGAAAAAAATGTGAAGAACAGAATTTTGTAATCAAAGCAACAACATTTCATTACAGCAAATCAAATCATCAGTATTTGATTACATCCACTCAGAAGCACGTTGAATTTATATGAGAAGGAAGAACTGCCAAAGAGATGATGTTGCACTAATCAAGGAGCTGCGATGATGAGAGATTGTATAAGCTGTGAAAATGAACAAGAAGGACTAAAACTTGGCTGCCTAAAGTGGAAAAAATTAATCGAAACAAACAGAAAATACTATCCAGTACAAGCTAAACATAACCTAGATGTGAAACTTGGAAATGTTTGCCTTATTCTTAATTAATATTTTTTTTTCTTAAAAATACCTTACCAAATCTAGAGTTTGAGCCCTTATATACTTAAAAATACATAGGTCAGGGTGAAACTTATATACATTTAACACACAAATGACAATCAAGAGCTCGGTTATGCCATGTGAGTTTACTATCTACAGAGAGATGAACCCTTACAAAGAATTCTGAGACTTGAAAAAACAAAACACCCAGGTATTAGCATGGAATAGGCCACATAATCAAATAGTGTTTGCTTGTAGTGTGAGGCACGCAAAACTAAAAATGTTACATCGGTTGGCATGCTAATTTAGGACTTAGTACCAAAGATTTTTCTCTTGCAGGTTTCCCATGTAGTTGTGTAAAACAGTCAATCCCTGACCCACAGATGTGTTAAGATATCTAACTACTGCCGACATCATCATGCCTCAGACCTCCATCTCCAAGTGGACACAACACTTCACATTCCTTCAGCCCTCTGAGGTGTTGCAAAGACACATCACAAGACAGTGAATTAGCACAGCAACATTTTGAGGACTATCTTATGACCAAAACCGCACAATGAACAAACACACACCATCTAGCTGTACAAAATGACTACTGTTCTACAATTATGCCTCAGTAAAACTAATTTTAATTTTATTAGGATTGCCGTGCAACATTTCTTTGCTGTAGATTAATGAAGAAAATAACATAATCCATCGTACTGAGTAAAGCTTTGTACAGTATGAATACAAGCATGACTCCAGGTACAATAAACACAGCAACCGAAATACAGGACCGAATACAAATGTACTGCTTTTATTGTCTTCCTTGTTAGAACTTGGCAAGCTGCACTTCAGCTTTGCAAAAAAGCATGAAAATGAAAACTATTCAAAGAAAAATCTGCAGGAAACCTTTCTGAGGATCCTTCAAAGCAAGAGTGGTATTTTGTTCAGTGTTGTTGAACAGATCATTGGCTCCCTGATGTACTCAGTGAGAGTCACAGAGAGCTGTTCCAGATGGTGGTATGCCAAGGATAAAACTGTAATGCAGTATATTGCCACACTCAATTCATTACCACACAGAGAAGTAATGCTTTTAAGCTCAATTAATTTTTTTTTTTTTTTAAAACAGAGTTTATTCAGGCTGCAGGAAGCAGAAGTTGCTGCTGGGAGCTGTAGAAGGAGTGCACAGGGATGGGGGTGAGGCCTCCAGAGAGGATATATTTCTTTATTTCCTTCAGGGCTGTTGTTTTTTCCATTGAGAGGAGGGAGAGGGAGGAGGAGATCTGCAAGCTGAAAAAGCAGTTTTCAATCAAGAAAACTTCTTTTGGTTAAGTACTCCCAGTTCTCCACAAGCTGTTTGGTAAAGGGAATACATGTGGACAGGTTTCATTTGTACATAACCTTATTAGAACTGCCTGACTGTTTCCAGTATTCTTTTTATATATTACACCATTAGGGAGCTTTTTATAACATTTACAGTGAAGTAAAAACATTTCAGAATGGGAAGAGTTATGATCCCCGATCCTCAGTATAGCACAGCATTTGGATGGTTTTCTCTGAGAGACAGATCCACCCTACCAGAGTGCTCCAGTTCCCCTGTTCTTCTTGGGGTGACCAGCAGAGGCACAGGAGGCATCACACAAGCACTGCACAATAGCCTCTCTCTTGAAGAATTTTACACTGAATACCTTGAAATATTCAACACTTCGTCTCAAAGCAAGACCGCTTTCTTTACAAATTACAATGTAAAAGCTTAAAAAAAAATTCATACCCATAAGATATTCAGTACTAGAAACATTAAACTCCAGAAAAAGTGGTGAGAAAATTTGAAGGATTTACTTTCTGTGTAAAGATTCTTAAAGCATTTAAATGATAAATTATGTCAAAAGATTTCAAATATTTTTACATTATATCCACAGAGCTTATATTTAGAGTGATTTGGTTTTCATGCAAATTTTTTAAACAAGACCAAATTTCAACACAATAGACTAAATTACTATATAATCTATTTCAGAGTTTTAGTTTTTAAAAAAAGAGAGTAATGCTTTTAGAAATAGGAATGGAAAATGAATGGCTAGAATCTATGCTGAGATTTTCTGTAAAGTACGGTATGAAATACTTGGATATAGGTTGGATTCTACAGTGTACCACATAGCACCTAAGAATTGAAAAATAAGGGAAACAGATCTCAGAAAAGAATCTTAAAACCCAGTGAGCCTAATAAACCAGAACACCGGGACTAAACTATTAAGTAAAAACAACTAGAAGTATAATAAAACCAAACAAAGAAATTAATCCTAAAATAACTCAGCAAAAATAATTCATTATGCTCCAGGTTAAACATGACTATGAAACTTAAAGAATTGAAAAAGAAAACAGTATCACAAATAGGTCAAAGAATAAATCTTTTGCGGTAGTTGCAGGAAACATTAAGATAAACTTCACCCTGAAAACACTAAGCACCATGTAAACCACCATGCAGCCACCCTCTTGGTGCACGCTGGAAACACCTCAGCGGACGGCAGAGTTCAATGCAGGTTTTTTCAGTTCTCAGCCTACCGCTTACACAGATCATAAAATAAACCCAGATGCAGCAAAACTGACTGTCAATTAAAAAGCAAAAATGCAAACATCCTGAGAAAGAAGTGTAGTAAATGTGTAAAATTTTAAGCCAAAAGGACTAGAAAACACTCATACCAACCTTCTCTTTAAACAAGTTCAAGCTGGAATTAAAATACTGTATTACATACGAGGAAGGCAAAGCTAATCTATTTAATTACAACTGATCTAAATTAAAGCCCAAACAGAAGATTCATTCAAAAGCAATTTCAAAAAAACCATACTTATTTGTCAATTATATTCCAATAAAAATTCTATTTTGGAAGTCTGCTGGGGAAAAGAAGAATGTCCAAGCAGTTATAAAAAAAAGAGAACTTAGATTATCTGCAATAGCTGCTTTCCTTATTCTTATCTTAATAGCTTTTCAGGAATCCCACCAAATTTCCTATCCAAATCTATGACCAAAAACCTCAGACCCACGTGTGCTGGCAATATGATTTCAGTCACCAGTGGGAAGGAAACGGAAAGCCAATTCCTCTGTGGCTGGTTTTGCTATGTAAGCTTCACTTGCAAATTGGCCAGAAGTCCTTTGGACATTAGAGTCGCCTTATCTTTCAAGAAATACCAGTGGCCCTAAGCTGTTTTGTGAGAAAGAACTTCACTGGCAACTTGCCCAACATCAAGGGCCAGCTGGAAGGCCATACATATTTTTTCAAGGCTAAGAATTGAAAAGAAAAATTGTCTATGGAATTACATTAGTTTTTAAAAAAAAATCATTAAAAGACAAGAAAGGACCAGGTGATCTTATAAATGAAGAACAGATACTATTATTGTGTTTAAATTTTTATCTGTACTCCTGTCACTTTTTGTGGTTTTATCATTACTTTGGTTACATCTGCTTTTCCTGCCCTCTATTTTTCAATGATAAACTCGAATTTACTCTTGATCACATCTTTTCCCTGCACGCACTCCTCCAGAACGAACTTACTTGCTTTCTTGCACTTCCATTCATTCACCGTCTAGAAAGCTTAGTCTGCGTGCCGTCCTCACGCAGCTTCTTTTGCTACACGTTGCCTCACTTTAAGAAAAATCACCGAGAGTCCTCTCATCTCCCCTTTTTTTGAAAATTAAACCAGCAATAGTTCAATTTATGTCTTTCCTTATGATTCTGCCTGCTTTTCTATATCACTTTTAGGAAGTCATCCCTCAGTTCAGACAGAAATCTTATCTTAGGAATCATAAAATTATGAATGCATTTCACAAAATCGGACTGTTTTTGCATGAATTAGACATAAAGGACTTTTAAATGAAAACAAATACATAAACGTTGGGCAAACAGGCATCTTCTAGCAGAAATGCATCTAAATCCACAAAATTAGTTTTGAAAGCTTGCTCTTGGCCCTCAGACCTTTATCCCACTTTGAAAAGGGAGCTCTGACTGGTACCCAGTCTATAAAAATTTAGTTTTAAACCACATATATGAATTTTTAAGTACAAAAAGTGTATTAAACAAAAATTAAAAAATTCAGATTTTCACAAATTACAAATGAAAAACTCAGTTTTATATTTGAAAATTTTAAAATACCATGGAAGCGTATGCATACTTTACCTTTTAACCCTGTATAACTAGAGGGCACAGCTTTGCATGTGCATATCATACAATATATTATAAGGGAGACTCAGTTGAAATATCTTGTTTTCAAAATTCACCTTGTTTTAGTTACAGAAGTGCAAAACCCAGTTCAGAACCAATAGGAAATGTACTACTTTATCCTCCTCTAACTTAGAAATGTCTGAGTTGGTCTTAGTCAAGCCTTGTAAATAGATAAACAAAAGAAGTTAAAAAAAAAAGAAAAAGAAAACCCAAAACCCCCCATTGCTTGTAGACTGAGAAGCTGAAGTCTCAGCCCTGGAGTTACAGAGTTATTTTTATGGACGTACAGTAAGCCACTTAGAAAAGAGCTTATAATGGAACCAAAGGCACACAATAACTAGACTGTAACTACAGTGTAACAATCATAGTATCATGCATTTCAAATGTATAATCCAAAACTCCATGGAAATTTGCTTGTAATGTAAAGCAAAACCAATACAGAATTACTTGATTTAGATACACTGTGAATGATATCTGCAGTGTTTGTGCTGTGTAATTCTAGAAAAGAGCAAGTTCAAAAAAACTTCCTACCTACTAGCCATGTTCCATTCAAGTGCTGGATTTTGAGAATTTCTTTCACTCTCTGTCAAAACCCCTCCTTTTCCATTCTCCTTCTCTGGTTTCAACTGATTCCAATGAGCAGTACCAATGTTTATAGACTGAAGATCTATTTGATATTGTCTGTCTTCAACCTCTGATCCAGGGTCTCGAAGTATTCCTAGATTCAGTGCTCTCCTGCAATGTCAAAGAAAAAAAAAAAAAGGAAAAAAACCAACAACAACAAAATATCAGCAACAAAGGTCAAAATCAGACCATCAGGCAACTGAACTTACCACTGTTTTTCAAAATAAGCCAGTAAAGGGAGCAAGGGGATCCTAAACATTTTTGCTTTGAATCTATGATCACATCAAATTGTAGTCTATTTTTATTGATTTCATACATCTGAGTTGAAGCTTACGCTTCTTATTTGCACGTGCCACCCAATCTACTGTTCCATTCTAGGTTGTTGGCTTATGCCAGGGTCATTACTTAGTATATAACTGCTGTCTCCACAGAGAACTTAATAATTCTGCAATTTGGTTAATCATCGATGCTAACAATCTAAAAATAAACAAGGATTAAAGCAGCACATCTCAACCTGTGATGCACGCACTGCATGCAATCTGTAAGCATAGGTATGCAACCTGTAGGTATGCAACCTATCTCAAAGTGCAATCCCAGCGCTGCCCAAATCCAAACACAGTTGAAACTGCTAATACCACTGCCATTGTCACCAATGGAGTATGATAGCAATCGAGAAAATTAGGTAATTAATTGTATCTACCCACAAAGGCATGTGAACGGCATGAAAGCCATTTTGATCAAGTCATTTCTGGTGAGGCACTGTGATGGCATTGTTCAGTAGCCCTGTAACTTTCTTAAACGCTTACCAGAAATACACTGAAAATCTGATATGTCAGTAGTGGTATTTCAAAATTAAACGCGGTTTCTTAAAACTCAAGAATGTGTTTGTGAACTTTCCACATGGAGAGATCTAACCACAACTGTATCTTTTATTTTTCTTTCTATGCTTTATTTCATTAATATGAAAGCAGTTCTGCTGGTTTTCAAAAAAACAAAACCAAAACACAAACACGGTAGATTATTGTATGACCCAGTGTCTATTTACATACTTTGTCTAATGCAAGTAAATATCGGAAAATATGTTTTGTGAAATATTACTGGAAATAAAGCAGCAAATTACATAATTTATAAAATCTGCTTAAGTATATAAAATACAGAATATACTAATTTCACCTGCATCATGAATTCTTCTCTCCTGTACCTCACAGTAAAGAAGATTTTTCATTCATTCTTTAATGAGCAGCTTAATAACTTGCATTAAGCTGCACCTAGCTCTATATTCCTTAGGCTCATTCAGCACAATCATGACCTTACAAACCAAATTCCTAGAGCAAAATCTGGCTGTATGTGCCAGTCTGAAACTCCCCATTGTGAAAATGGCTTTCTTCCCCTCATATATGTACTTATTTAAATACAAAACCCAACGAAATCACTCTTTGGCACATATTTTTAGGTGCGGCAAAATACAGAGAGGTACTATTCAGACATAAGGTACTAGTGCATTTCATTGTTGGTATAAGATTTGTTCACTGGATCTTTATTTGATCCAATTAATTTTGTAAAATCTCAAGGACTGGATAATGTTTGGACTGCTTTGGGATACCGCAGCCTAATATTTTCACGCTGATATAAGAACTGCACTTTCATTCTGTTCCTACTATTAACAATCACCTATATAGAATACAAAACTCTTCCTCTGATTCTTTAGATAAACCTTTGAAATCCAAGCAAACAAACTGCGTTTCTACAGATTACCTGCATTTCAAGAAACACATATTTTACATCTTTGTGTAAAATACGAGGGTTAGTTACTAATGCCTTGATGTTTTGACTAAGTTGGTTATTGCTTTCAGAAAGCATATCCTGCCAGTTTTATACAAGGATCAAAATACAGCCTTTTCCCAAATAAATTACATATATACGTGCATTTACATAAGAATTCATTTCTGGTTTTCAATATCAACTGTTCTCCCAAGCACGTCCACAATTTACTAGTTGTATACTTCCTAGAAGGATGAGAGTAAGTTAAACCACAGCAGAACTGGCCTAATCTTAAGGACACGTGCTATGTACGAACTCTCTGCAGCCTTTTTGATTCCGCAGGTTTTGAAATTTGAAATCCTCTTAAAAAAAAATCAGGGAAATGGAGTAAGCCAAATTCAAGACTCCTCTATTCATAGCATAAAGGCTCTTTTACCAGCTGAAACATACTGCAGGGGTTATGATTTACTTGCTTCCCCCTTCTGAAAATAACTTCCCTATCCCATCTGAACCTTTCCGCAGGTGGTGTAGAATACAACAGTTGGTCAATAATACAGTAAGATCCTAATCAAAAACGACCATAAACATCTAACAGGAAACACAGTTTTAATGTTTTTCTTCTTTAAATTGATTTAGTCTAGTTCAGGCTTTTTGTATGTTTTTATAAGAAACAGCTCATGTTGAACTACATGCTGCTGAATAGGCATAATTCTGAGACCCGCTGTAAAGAAGTTAAATCTATTCACTTACAGCTCATCTGAGACCTACAAAAAGCTAACTATACATTATGTAACGATTAAGAAATACTCACAGACTTTAGACACAACAGCTAATTTTTGTTAGCACTTACTAGATCTCTGTGTGAACTGATTTCCACTTCCAGGTACAGAGATCCCAAACCTATCCATCCAAATTTCAATTATTAAAGGTTTTGTCTGGTGATAAAAGATTCTTTCTATTCTAATTTAAAAAGGAAACAGACAGTAAGCTTGGATCAATATATACCCTCTGCTTTACAGGTGTAAAAGCAGTGGCACCTTGTTGGACGTGGATAGAGATGCTATGCAAGAGGACCACTTCCTTTTCTGCTTACGTTTGTGGAGCCCCAGCCCAAATGCAGTCTGAAAGCCCATCACCTATGAACAAGACGGGACTGAACTCGTGTAGAAATCAGAGCAATATTTATCACTGACCCAATGCTCCTTAACTGCTTTTTTCCCAATTCAATTCAATACAGTTTCCTAACTTATTCTCCTCAACAAGGCCATCGAATGTGTTAAACCAAACAGGGGAAATTAAAAAAACTGTTTCTTAGGGAAGCAAGGGAAGCAATGGACCACTGCTCCATTTAGAGTGAGATGCTACAGGTGTCAAGCAGAGCATAGAACAGAAACATGGTAAATCTAGAGCATCTATGATAACAATACTGGCCTTTGAAAATGCTGAACTACTACCAGTAAAACCCCAGACAGGAATCAGCTGTCCAAAGAAAGGCAACTATTTTTCTTTTTTTTTTTTTCTTCCTTTTTTATTTTTTAAATTATAGCAAGTAGATGCCTCTGTCAGAGGCAAAAAAGCAAACACGTGAGCCACTGGGGGAGAAACAGAACTTCCCCAACATCACAGAATATATGGAGGCATGATCTTAGAACAGGAATAAAAGAAATCCTGTAGAATAACAGTTCATGATGGAAGACTTGGATTTGCCTAAGTTTGGAGAGATTTAAAACATGTATTTGTGAGGTAGACCATAAGAAGAATGGGAAATCAAGGAGAAAAAGAGGAGGGCACAGGAGTGGGCAGGAGGGATAAGAAAGATGGGACCAGGGCACTAATACTGAAATTAAAGAAGCGGCAGTTAAGAAAATACCATTATTGCAAGAAGAGAGGAGGAGACATCCTTAGGCAAGAAGGGAAGGTCCTGACAAATTTCTAAAATATTGTACACGATCCTGGGTATGCATTCTGCCGTACAAAGTGAGATCTGTACCTTCCCCGAAGGGTAACCTCAGCTTTGCTTCTCCACCTTGCCATCCTATGCCAGTGCCACGGGGACACTTAATTGCAGTTTAACAAACATAGTGTTTTATGACTGCCGGGATGTTGGAAACAGTTTATTTTAGTCTGGGTCAGTAGAGTAGGCTCTCAAATGCTGTCAGCAGTAAACTCCAGTCCTCACCATTTCTGTGTCTTTCCCCCAGGAACTATGCCACATTTGAGTGGATTTGTTGGCACCTGCTCCTTCTCCCCTTTCTAGCTCGGCCTCCAAAGAACTCAACTACTGCCCCATCTCCACACTTGCTGGCAGTGTACTCTGGATTGGATACCAGCAAATTTTTATTAAAGATAAACTGAGTACAGTAAGGCTTCTTTGTTCAGCGCTTTACTACTAAGCGACACTATTTTGTTCATACGTCTATACTCACATTGCCTGTCACTTTAACATTACACTTAATATTTACAGGAATCTGTTTAACAATGAAAAGTACATTCCCTCTGATTAGCTCTTGTGTTGTGTTCTCTACAGCCAGATACATCAGCATTATCTACAGAAGACACTACACGGTCGGTGTCCTGTAAGTCACAGTGGTTAAGGCACCTGGGTTCACCTTCAGATGTGGAAGACCCTTACAAAAAGAAAACATCAGTGCTAGCTCCATGAACAAAATAAAAACGACTGACCACTTTTAAATATTTACATAGTGGACAAATATATCACATTACTAACACCAAGGAAGAATTAATTTAATTCTAACTGAATATGTTTTGTAGTAATCAATGGTCATACTTCTAACTCTATAAGGATTTGCAGTGTTTATAGCTTTTGTGAACAGACATAAAGCTACTTTGAGGCAGATTACTTGTGCAACTAGTATGTTAAAAAAGACAAGCAGTGACTGAAACATACAAAAATTTATTTTGATTGTGCTAGAATGCTTCAAACAACTGATATAGTGAAGCAAAAGCACAAGTAAGATTGGTTTAAAATAGAGGAAAATTACCTATGTTGGATAAATGTCTGACTTCTGTCTCTTGGGCACTGGTTCCTTTTTTATTCTGTATATGTACAAATGAGTATCACGGCAAAGAGGTAAACTAGTGTAAGTGTAAAAAAGCTAAAGAAGAGGATGAGACACAAAGTAGCTATAAAGATCTTTAGGTAATAAAAGGATAAGCATATTGGAGGAATTATGGAACTTGGTACTTTCAAGTCATAAAAAAAGGTGTTTCAACTATGGATTAGTGTGTGCTACGACATCATTCAAAACATGAATGTCCGAGTGCCTCTGAGAAAAAAACAAAAGACAATTGGATGTGCAGCACAAATCATCTACACTCAGGATCATCCA